GCAAACTGAAAGTTTTAGCGCAAACTTCGCCTTCTATAGGCGGGGTCCGGTCCTCCCACCCATGTTCCCATCTTGCCGCCTGTACCCCCGCCAAGTTTGATTGCCCTAGGGCCAAATTGATTATTGCGGCGCAAAACCCCACCCCCTGTAGGCGGAGTCCGGCCCTACCACTTACCAAAGGTGTTCCCATCGTGCCCCCCTTACCCCTACCAAATGTGAACGCTCTANCTGCTGAGTAGCGGTCGTAATTTAATAGCAAGAAGTGCACCAAATTCATCTCCTTATAATCACACAACTTAACCTTCTTGTCAAATGAAACATACCAAAAAGTCAAAGCTAGATCGTAAATAATAAAGGCGCTAGGAGGTAATTGGTGTGTGGATCTTCTTCTCTGAGGCCTCTTCTATTGTCAGTGTTCCCATCCTACCCCCTCCTGTTGATTGCTCTCCAAGTCCACGAGATTGGGAGTTATGGATTTCCACTCATTTATTTCGCAAAATCCTGTTCCTTGGGGGGCGAAGTCCAGCCCTACTACTCACCATGAGTGTTCCCATACTGCCTCCTACCAATTTTGAACGCCCTAGAGGCAAACTGAAAGTTTTAGCGCAAACTTCGCCTTCTATAAGCGGGGTCCGGTCCTCCTACCTACGATAAATGTTCCCATCCTGCCGCCTGTACTCCCGCCAGGTTTGAATGCCCTAGGGCCAAATTGTTTATTGCGGCGCAAAACCCCACCCCCTGTAGGCGGAGTCCGGCCCTACCACTNCCCCCCCCCTTACTCCTACCAAATGTGAACGCTCTAGGTCCACGGAGACCTGAGTTATGAATTTGAGGCCCAAAGTTTCTAACGCGCACGCCGCGCTCCCTGTGAACGGAGTCCGGTCCTGCCACCTACCAAAGGTGTTCCCATCCTGTCCACCTTACTCCTACCAATTTTGAACGCTCTAGGTCCAGTGAGACAGGAGTTATGAATTTCCGGTCAAACACACACACCGACACACACACACACAAACACACACACACAAAAACACACACACAAACACACCGACACACCAACAGACACACTTAGCGAATTATATAAAGTAGGATGTCGTTACTATTGATACTAGGTATTACGCACCTTTTCGAGGAGGGTCAGCGCCTTTAATTCTAGTGGAAAACAAGTCTTCGCTTTTTTTGAAACTTCATCAATTATAGGTTGTGATAAAAACATATGACGCAAACTCAGATTTGCAGAGAGCTCAGTTTTGATTCGACTCGTAACTCGTACGATTTCTAAGTATGTCCTCCAACCGAGTCCACGACCCGTAGACCACGGAAAATCTCGTGGCCACGATTTTCGTTTCATGACTTGAGCTCAGCCTACAACTTCCTTCAGTTTTCTTGACTGCTTTCCAACAAGAATCCCACGCAGGATGAGGAAGGGAAAGCTCGACTCCGAACGTGGTTGTGCGATAGTGAGGGATCAAATTTACCTTCATCCAGGGAGGGAGTGCCCACATGTGATCTGAAATGAACTTTTCTTTTCCATCTAAAGTTTCTCCATCCTTCATATGCATATGTGCCGCAGCGTATATTCTTCACTTCTCAACAGTCTCACCTTTCCCGGCTTATAACAGAAAAATATCCTTTTTCACCTACTTATCCTCAAAATAAGCGCTTGTATAGATTGGTCCTACAATTAGCACCAAAACGTAATGACTTCTGAGGAGTGGAAAAATGGCATCGGCATGAAAGGTACAGTCCAGGATTTCGCAACAAAATTTACAAATGTGTTTGCCCTGCCTGCCAGCATCAATGTTAATCGACCTTGAGCTTTCATCTGCCAATAAAAAAACAGTGTGCACAAAATAAACTGTACAAAAGATCATCTAGCAACAACACTTTTTACTACAACCCTACGCTACACCTTACCACATACCCTTCCCCATCCCCCTTCCCCAATCTTAATAGAGATGAAATGCAATGTGAAATATGATGCACTGGCAATATCCCATTTGACACTATTTCCAGGCTCCCGGAAGACGCAGATGGCATTGCGTATCTCTTCATCACACCACAAAAGCTCAAGGATGGCCGCACTAAACAGGTCGCACTAGAAAAAATGCAAGGAAGGACGTTCACACAAATTATAGCACGCCATTGTTACCAGTCCCCAACACCAATACCCCAAATATCACATATTACGGCAGAGGAGCAACCAAAAACTACCACAGAATCAAAGTTGCTATCCA